CGTGGTGTTGGTTCTGACTCATAGTGACCCTGCATAGGGTTTCTGAGACTGTAAATCTTTACTGGAGCAGAAAGATTTATCTTACCTGGTGGTAGTTTCAAACTGATTTTGAGGTTAGAAGCCCGGCTTGTAATCACTACGCAACCAGGTTTGGCATTTATTATAATCTTGTCTTAAAACTATAGTCTTAAAGTAGTCTCTGCCCAGCTTTCGATTTTATTTTTAATATGATCATGTTTGGAGTCCTTGTGTGGCGCTGTGCACCGGACTGCAAAGCCGTTTGAACTGCAAGGTCAGCGGTTCACTCTCACCAGCTGCTCCTCGGAAACCCTATACAGGGTCGCTATGGGTTGGAATCGACTCAACAACGGCACTTACCTATAACAATGATTGTGTTCGTTAAAATCTTAGGATACTCCAAACCTTGTTTAAACAGCGGGGGGTGGGGGGGGAGGAGGGGGCGGTGGGCAGGAACAACAAAAGAATTCAGTCTTATTCTGTGCATTCCAGTAACAGATTTGTGTATGCACTAAGCTGTGTTTTAAGTTTTAGCTTGTGAGAGAGTTGTTTGCTGTTGTTATGTGCTACTGCAAATGACCTTACAGACACCAGAAGGAAACACAGCCTGGTCCTGCGCCATCCTCACAACTGTTGCTACGTTTGAACCAGTGCCAATTCATCTCATTGAGGGTCTTCCTCTTTTTTGCTGAGTCTCCACTTTACCAAGCATGATGTCCTTATCTAGGGACAAGTACCTTTTGATGGTATGTCTGATGTATGAGAGCTGAAGTTAAAAAGGTCAAAGATGTAAAAGGTCTTCCTTTTTTTGTCTATGAAGTGGCTGTTTATTTTTCATTTAGCTTGTTTGATGTGTGTGTGTGAACAATGTTGTTTAACAATAAGCTGGAATTTTATCTTGCTGAGCTGTGATAACACTAACAAATTCTGTTTTGTGTACCTGACTATATATACGATATATTTCAGAATTAAATGTTTTTTTTCCATTTATCACCCCCTCCCAAAGAGAAGAAACGTGTCTCAGAATCAGTGCCTGCTGCATGCTGCTGTTCTGAATGTAATTATGTCTCTTGAAAATTACTGTCATGGATGCTAGTTTTACTTCTCAGCCAGCGTTGACTCTAACACATGACATTTGCTTTCTCTATGGGGAAAACCTGTTGGAAGAAATGTCTGGCAATCTAGTTCCAAAAGATCACAGGCACTGATAAGATTGCCAGGAGTCAGAATCAACTTGGCAGTTTTCGATTTTTGGTGGGTTTATGGGGGAAACCTGTAGGCAGGTCACTGTAGAAGAAGATCTGCCTTTATTTGTGACGCTGACAAGACCAGAAATCAGAGCCAATGTGTAAACCACCCTAGCCAAATCAGATGTGTGCCATCAAGGGTGGAAGGAAGGTGTGCAGAGCAGAGCAAGGAAGGGCAGGACAGAACCAGAGAGGCAAGAGATGTCCCAAGAGGTGACCTACCTTCTTCTGAATGAAAACCTGTTTAATGAGGGTAAGCATATTGTTCAGGAACCTTCAATTCAATGGGTTGTTTGACTATGCTCACAAGTCCATAAAATTCCCTCATTCAATTAACGTTTCACCTATGGGATAATGCTTAATTTGCTTCTTTATACCATGCCTTCAGGCATTTTGATGAACAGATAGCTTAGCCTGGTTTCATTTGCATAAGAATTGACTTTTCTGTGTAACACATAGTAAGTATACAGATTTCACTTTGTATTATAAAAATAATGGAGTCCTGGTGTGGTGCTGTGGGTTAAGGCACTGGATTGTAAAGTTGGTTTGAACTGCAAGGTTGGTGGTTCAAGCTCACCAGCTGCTCCTCAGTAACCCTACACAGGGTCCCAAGCAAGAACCAACATGGTTAAGAACCAAAATAGTTAAGCACTAACAGTCCTACCTTTTGGAGAAATTTTTGTTTTAATTTAGCATTTGTACAAGCAAAAAGAAAAGGCAGCAAGTATCCTAAGTATAACTAGCAAACTATGGGGTGGAAGATTTCCAAAGTTTAGTGAAAATTAAGGAAGTCATCAGAGGGAAAAAACTCCTGGAAAGACCTTTACATTTGTACAATGTAACATGATACCAGTGTCGGGCACATAGCAGGTATTCACAAAAACTGACTGAAGACTGAATTTTAAGAAGCCAGAAGGACTAAGGAAAGGAATAAATAAAACTGAAGCCCAAACATTGTCTTACATTAAGGCTGAAATCAGCATCTTACAGACCTCATCCATCTTCCTGGGTCTGTGTGCAGGTGAGAGAGTTCAGCACAGCAGAAAGTAGAAAAGATGAGGACATGGTGATCTAATTGCTATCTCTCCCCATCATTACTTGTGACTCCTTTGACAAGTCCACTTTTCACGTTGGAGCTGTTTTCTAATAACTCATTTGCATGGTTACAATGACAATTAACTGAGATAGTATCTTTACAAGATACTTAGCAGATACCCACTACCACCCAGTTGATTGTAACTCACAACAATCCTATAAGACAAAGTAGAACTGCTCCTTAGGGTTTCTGAGATTATAAATGCAGACAGCCTTTCTAGGTACAGACAGTCTCATCTGTCTCCCAAGAAGTAGCTGGTGGGCTTGAACAGCTAAACTTACAGTAAGCAGCCTGATGATTAACCAAATCATAGTAATAACTTAGTAGTTGAACCGGGGATTTGCAGTCAGACTCCCTTGATTATCCTCTGCCACACATATCCTAAAGTCAAGTTACAGAACCTCTCCAGGACTCAGTTTTCTCAACTGTAAAATGGGGAGAGGTCCTACCTCATGGCTCTCATGGGATTCTTTTAAGGATTAAATTATTTACTAAAACGATACTCAGTAAATACTAGCTACCATCATCCTCTTTGGGGGTGGGGGGAATTCCAGTTTGCTGTTACCCATTAGTTCACAGTCTATAAAAATCATGATCGACCTTTTTCAATTATCATGTTGTTGTTAAGTGTCATCGAGTTGGTTCAGACTCATAGGACCCTGTGTAGGGTTTCCAAGAAGTGGCTAGTGAGTTTGAACCACTGACCTTATGGTTCAAGTCAACCTTGTGGTCCAGTGCTTTTTCCTCAGTGCCACACCAGAATTCCTTTAATTACCATAACTAAAATAAAATAGAGGAAATCATTATGGGTAACTCATGAGTTACCCTATTTTTAATTTGTACTATATAATAAAGGCTACTCTACTGTGGTTCCTCATGTGGTGCTGTAGGAACAACAATGGACTACGAGCCATAATGTCAGCAGTTCAAGCCTACCAGATGCTCCTTGAAAACCCTGCATAGGTTCGCTTGACAGCACTTAACAACAACAACTGGTAGGTTCAACCCACCAGTTGTTCCTTGGAAATCCTGTACAGGGTCACCACAAATGAGAACTGACTTGACAGGATCGGACATTGTTTCGTTCTGCTGTGCATGGGGTCACTATGAGTCGGTTCCGACTCGATGGCACCTGACAACAACAATACAGTGGTTAAGCACTCAGGGGCTAACCTAAAGGTCCACAAGTTTGAGTCCATCAGCTGCTTTGCAAAAGAAAGATATGACCATCTGTTTCCATAGAGACTTACAGCCTAAACAACCCTATGACGCAGTTCTTCTCTGTCCTATAAGGATCTGTATGTGTCAAAATCAACGGGATGGCAGTAGGCTTCAGTATTTGGTTTTGGTATGAAATATTTTACATAAATAATTTCAATAAGAAGTGGTACCATGTATTTTTGGTGGTGTTTTTTTTTTGTTGTTGTTGTTTTTAACAGGCAACACCAGAACAGTTGAAAGTGGTTATGTTACTGGTACTAGTTATGTAAGCTATTTCCCATGTTGAAGCTTTAAAAAAAAAAAAAAAAAAAAAAAATCTGTTATTACTGGACCCTCGAGAAAACTAGAACCAGACTTAACGTGGTAATCACGCCCCAGTTAGGTGAGAGAAATGACTGGTAGCCATAAGCCTTTACGATAGGGAGCAAAAAAATGTTTCAAAGGCTCTGCTCAGGATGTTTTTACATAAACAGAGAGCAAAGGACTAAAAACTGCCAATCAGTGCATCCTTTAGGTGCTTCCTGCAGAGAAGGGAGGATGATAGGGATGTGCTCAAAGAGCTCAATAGCCTAAATCATAAATCCATGTAATTGATGAGTAGTAGGCCCGTGTTATGGAGTATGTGTGAGCATGCATGTGTCTGGGAAGGAGGAATTTAATTAACACTTACCTTGGTGGGGATTCGCGCTGTGACAAGGAAGGCTCGGCATGATGTGAGCACCTGTAAGAAAAAAGAAAAACCATGAGCCCAAATACCAAAACATGAGGCAGGTGAGCTTTGGTGTTACCAACAGGGCTTCAATAGCCACCTGTTTTTGTTCCTGCCATGTTGGAAGGATGCTGGACAGCTTGGGGCCCAACAGCATTCATGTTCTCCAAGAGTCACTGTATCAAGGTTCCTACTGAACGAATCACCTGTGAAACCTCAAGATGAGCAGTCAGCTAGCTGCCCAAAGGACCAACAGAGTATTTCAGTTAAGTAAGCAACACAGTTCTGTGCTATTAAAGCATATACATCTTATACATAGATCTGAGTTCCACTGTATCTACAGCAGACTTATGAAAAACACAAATTTTCATTTACACCTTCCAAATTACAATCATCACCCACATTTGTCCTCTTGCCTTCCATTCTCTGCTTAGGAGATTTCCATAATGCACTGCCACCAAAGGTGGGGGGATTACTCTTCCAAGAGATCATCCCCAACTTTGCTTCTTAGTTGTGTCACTCTTTAGTTCTTGGGGAAGTGTGTGTGGAAGCTTCATGTTTCATACTCAGATGAGTACATACAAAAAGCATGTGGGATGCCATGCAGCTGTAGACACTTATGCTTGTCTGAGCCTATCAACTTCAAAGGGGTTGGAAATAGTTTGACTTCCTAGTTCAAATCTACAGCAAGAATCCCACGTTCATAACCTTCAACATCTGGAATTGTTCCCTCTGCAACCAAATGGTTGGGTAAGACCCAATGAAGAAATGAGAAGACTCCAACACTTCTCAAGTTCCCATGGGGAAACTGCCTTTTGCCATTTTCTAAAGAACTCTCTTGCCACTGAATCCATTAGCAAACGATATTTATGCAACTAATCTATCAACAAAGATTTTAACCAAACCTCACAAATCCTATGTTAAAGTTGTGAGGTCCTAAGTTGTTGAAGGACTTCCTGAGGTCACAGTGCTCTACCCAGACTCAACCCAGCGCTGGAACTAGTAACTGGCGCACAGAAGGTGAATCAGTGGGTAGACCTCTGGTCTTCTAGGTGCCTGTCTCTACAGTACCCCGTGTTAAGAAAGAACAACTTATGAAAGACTATAGTCTCCCAACACCAAATGAAACCATTGTATAAGAGAGTTTCAAAGGTTAATAGAAAGAGGAATTAGAAGAGTAAAATTTTTAACTTTTTGAAGGCCCCTTGTATCTTCTATAAAACACTTCTTTGAATCGTCATACGTAACGACTGTTGGGAATAACTCAAGGCAGGTCTAGCTGGGAGGCAGATAATGAAGGGAAATCACCCAGCACTGGCTGGTAGAGTCTGATAATGAGTGTGGTAGGGAAGGCAGAGGGAAAAGACATGTCTCATTTCAAGACTTTCCATCTAGGGACTTCCAGAAAAATGGAGGACTAGGCAGACACACCACACAGACCCATTATAACAAAGATGTTATTGCTGTTAAATGCCTTCGAGTTGGTTCTGACCCACAGCGACCCTGTGTAGGGTTTCCAAGGAGTGGCTGGTGAGCTTGAACCGCCAACCTTGCAGTTCAAACCGGCTTTGCTGTCCAGCGCCATTAACCCACAGCGCCACACCAGGACTCCAGGAGAGACCAAATGAAACAGAAACAGATGAAAATTCAGGAACGATGAAGGTCAGAAGAAAAGTTAGAGAGAAGTGAATTGGGAGCTTGCTGGGAGGAGAAGCTGAGCAGGGTTGGCAGGTGAGGAAGACTGACAGGTGAAAAACTGAACATCTTGTGAGCAGCTTTGACAATGGAAAGTGGCCTTGCAGAGCAGATTCACAGACAACAGGAAAGGTGTGGTTCCTTCTTTTTCCCCATGGTCTCCTGCTGACCAGAGGTGTGGCCAGCTCCCACTTTCATCCATCCCCAGGTCAGACCCTGTTCTCCAGGAGTTCTGAGCCACATGGTTGTGACCCACCCCAGTGTGAAGCACGGTTGGCTGCACTGCCTTGGTGCCTGGATTTAGGTGGGCTCGGTTCCAGACTTAAAAAACCCACAGAGCCACCAGACCAGCATTTATCCACTCACCCTTGTCCCCAGCTGCCCTATGGTCCTAAGACACACTGAAACCAGCTCCATCAAAAGGGCATCCACAAACTACCTCCAGATTGAGTGCTCGGAACATGTTGTTGTTAAGTGCCATCGAGTCAGTTCCAACTCATAGTGGAGCAGGTGATGAGCTTGAACTGCAGAACTTGTGGTTCAAACCGACTTTGCAGTCCAGTGCATTAATCCACAGCACCACGCCAGGACTCTGCTCTGAACATAGGTAAGGCCAATAGGAACTCCATCAAGGGCCAGGGACTCTGCTGTCATATCCATCCCATACCCACCTTCTGAGCTCCTTGAAGGAGTCCCCCCCCAGAATTCTCTCCTCTCCGGGTCCAACAGCTACACTGTTTTGTTTTGTTTGAGGGTTTGGTTTGTTTCAGTTTATTTTCTCCTCCACCTACTTTGCTTTGCATTCCCTTGAATTTTATCCTTTCTATCCCCAATTTTGTTTTCCTTTTTTCTGTTTCTCATTCCCCCTCATTTTTTTATTTCCTTTTGATCTTTCTTCACTATTCTTTCTTCATCTTGCCCTTTCTAAGTATTTTTTATTCTTCCTTGTATCTTCTATACCTCCATTTTCCTGTCCCTCTTTTGTCTTAATACTAATAACTGTATGCTAGAATAACTATCAGAAAAAAGAATGAAAACATCCTCTTCATGGTATCCCATATAACTCTTAGAATTCCTTGGGAATTTTTCATTCAATTTCCATGGAAATTGTTGAAGAGTGGTTGGAAGAAAACTTTCCTAACATCACGATAGACGACAAGATAAATATATAAGAAGCTGAATGAACCCCAAACAGGACAATCTCAAAAGGAAATCACCAAGACAAATCATAATCAAATTCTCCCCAAACCAAAGACAAGGAATGAATTCTGACAGCATCTCAGGAAAAACAAAAAAAGTTACATGCAAAGGAGAACCAATAAGACTAAACTCTGATTTCTCAGCAGACACCATGCACGCAAGAGGGCAGTAAGATGACATATACAAATTCTCAAGAAAAAAACTGTCAACCAACAATCATACCCAGCAAAGCTGTCCCTTCAATACAATTGTGAAATTAGGACATTTCCTGATAAACAGAAATCAGAGGAAATAGACCACAACTTTACAAAAGTTTCTAAAGGGTATTCTTTAGACTAACAACCAACAGCAGCAGACCTGAGATTACCATTTATGACAAAAATACCCGGAACTCAATCCAGATATATAACTATTTAAGGGAAAACAAACGTAAAGACCGAAAATAGGGAAACCAGAGGTATCAGTGTATAATGAAGTCAACTACAAAGCAAAAAGAGGGAACAGTGCAGATACAAAACTTCCAAATGACAACAAAGTCAAGTAGATTTCAAAATTAAAGACTTTTAAATAGGGATTTTTTCAATAAACTTATTTATTTCTAATTAATAACCTGCAATTTACCCTGAAAATTCATACATCTGGACATCAAAATTAAAGGAGGAAAATCAGGTTAAGTAAACACTAACACAACAGAAATGAAAATGAAAATCCACCAACAAAACGAGCCCAGCACAGAAAGTTCTATGAAACAGAGAAACCAGCCGTACCACAAAAACAAAACAAAACAAACAAAAACAGCAAAATGACAACAATCAACCTACCGAAAATTATACTAAATGTCTATGGATTAAATGCACCTGTCAAGAGACAAATGAATAGGTAAGAAAACAGGATGCTTCAATAAGCGGTCTACAAGAGACATCAGAAAGACAGAGACAGCCTAAATATCCATTAACAGAAAAACGGTCAAACTTTGGCAAGTACACACAATGGAATACCATGCAATGTTGAAGAGTGAAGATGTGTTAAAGTGACTAAGAATTTCAAGATGGTGAAAACAGAAGACTCAATGATATGCAGGACCGCGGAGTAGGTGTCCACCTTCCTATGAAGGCAGCCCTCAGTAATAGCTACCATTTATCAAGCATTCCTGATGTGCTACGCATGAGCTAACATATTCCCATAGACTTTAATCCTCATCATAACTAGATGCATTATCATAATTACTCCCATTTTACAGATGAGTAAAGTGAGATGGCATGATGAAACTCACTCAAGGTCATACGATTAGTAAGGGCAGAAAAAGCATTCACAACCAACTTTGTTAACTCCTAAGTGTGTATTTTTAACCTTGAGGCTGCATTACATGCTACCATCCAATCCTCGCGGAGCACAGTGGTTCTGTAGGATAAGCACTGGACTACGAACCACAAGGTCAGCAGTTTGAGGCCACCGGTTGCTCCACAAGAGAAAGATGAGGATTCCTGCACCGCCAAAGATTTATAACCTCGGAAATCCTATACAGAGTTGCTATGAGTCAGAACCAACTCAATGGCACTTAACAACCATCATCACCCAATCCTTAAGGAGCCCAGGTGGCATTGTAGGATAAGCAGTGGACTTTTAACCACAAATTCAGTGGTTCAAATCCATCAGTCACTCTTGTGGATGAAAGAGGAGGCTCTCTGTTTACATAAAAATTTACCATCTTGGAAACCCTACATAGGGTCATTATGAGTCAGAATCAACTTGATAACAATGGGCTTACGTTTGACCCAATACTTGCTTGCTACACACCCTTACTTACTCAAAGAGCTCTTACAGTACTTACAGATGAAGATTAAAGACTACATATAGCCTTCAGTATAGACAACACTTCAACATAAAGAAAACAAAAATTCTTGCAATTGGACCATTAAGCAACATGAGGATAAACAAAGACAAAATTGCAGTTGTCAAGGATTTTATTAGCAGTGGACCCACTATCAATGCCCATGGAAGCTTGTTGCTGTTGTTAGTCTTGTTAAATACTGTTAAGTTGGTTCCAACTCACGGCAACACTTTATATATAGGGTTTCCAAGGAGCAGCTGATGAGTTTGAATCATCTACTTTACAG